AGAAGAAAGGTTTGGAAATCTCATCCCCAAAAAATTAACCTGTGAAAGCCATACAAGAGGAGCACAGTTCTCTGACACATATGAAACCACCAAGAGTCAGAATAAACTCAACAACAAGGTGTTTAGTTGGTTGTTGTTTTTCCCCCTGTAACAAAAGACAGCGTAAAATACCAGGAGACAGAATGGATGGGCTCTTACTGCCTACAGGTATGTCTGAGAGAGGGGAACTGGTGGCTTGGAACCAGTGTACTGTGATACAATGGGCTTTCACTGTAGAAGGTGCAAACACTTCATCCCCAGGAGTCAATCAGCGTCAGGAACTGAGGAAAAAGCAGTTCCTGGAGAAAAGATCAGTCTACACAGCTACCTCCAAAACAATTAAAATACAAAAGCCCTAAACCCTGAAGTGCTCATAGTCTAAACAGAAACCAAATCTACAAAGGATGGGCTCAAAACTTAGAAAATGCTTCCTTGTAGCTGTAGAGTATGCAAATAAGCTTGGGGGGTTGGCTGGGGGTTTCTGCTCCAAAATGCTACTTTAGAAGTAGTATATAAACTCCTTCCTCTCTAATCAGTGTGCTCCCTTTCCCCATTTTTTCATTCACTAATGAAAATTTTCCTCTTCCCCTGCCTGTTGCAGTTGGAAACGTGGCACTAAACAGGACACTGGAAAGCAAAAGGGAAAGGGTGGGGGCTGCTTTGGCGGTTCTGAGACACACACACACCTCCACCCGCTCTCCACCCAGTCACCCGCAGCCTGAAGGGCAGGCAGTCCAGCCAAGCTTCACCTCAGAAAGCACGGAGAACCAAACGGGTGAGTAGAAAACTCCCGCTTACGCCACCTCTCCCAAAAGCCGAGTTAAGAAAGAGAAAACTGGAAAGGAAGGAGGGGGAAATAAAGCTCCACATTCCTGACATTTTTTTAGCCAAGTGCTGTAACTGCACAGAAAGGCTCTTTCCAAACAGCCTGTAGGAAGGGGAGAGAACCAACCTGGGTTCAGAGGTGTCACACAGACTGAGCTGTGTCTCCAAAAAATATGTGCTATAAATCCTATGCCTGTGGTTATAATCCTATTTGGAAAGGGGCTGTCTTTGTTACGTTCATGAGACAGGATTAGTAGATGGTCTATCTTGAGTCAATCTCTTTTGCCATATGAATGATTAAACTAAAAACTTCCAGGGAGAGATAAGGGAAGAAAGATGTCAAGCCACAGGAAGATAACAGGAGCAGAAGCTGAGAAAAGGACCTTCTTCCAGAAAAAGAAAGCAGGACCCTAGAGCCAGGGCCCTGAATTCACACTTCTAGCCTCCTTAATGGTAAGAAAATAAATTTCAGCTTGCAAAAGCCACCCCCTTGTTTCTGTTACAGCAGCACTAGATAACTGGGACAGGAGAGAGAACATGCCCCCATGTCTTGGTAATGGGAGAAGGGGTCTCAGTGGGGCCCAACCAAACTGAAAAATACACCAGAGTGTGTTCCCAGGAGGAAGGGATCCCAGAGGACAAGGACCTGAGGTGCCTAACAGGAAACATGAAAGCCCCTCTGAAAGTTCAAGGCAGCAGCCAGGTTGAAAAGAGTAAGGGCTGAATGAGATGGAGCCCAAGGCTGTGCTGCCGCCAGAGGAAGGGAGGGGTGCGTGCCCAGCTCCCAGTGACTGGCAGAGGCTGGGCAGTGGACCCCAAGCGGGTAGGGGCCAGGAGAACACTCTTTGTAGAAAGAATTATAATTGATTGAGTTTTCCCAGTGTAGTTTCTGAATGAGTGACTCCTAGCCTGGTCTTAAGTCAGAAACCAAGATTCTGATACCTTCTCTCCCTTCCCTTTCCCCTCGTACCTTCTGCTGTCCTCACCTCCAGGAAAAAGTACATCAAGTGGTGGACCAGCCCCATTCTCCTTTCCATACAGTTCCCCAATTCACACCATATACATCCTTGTGTGTGAGTGTGTATGCGCATGTATGTGTATACTCTGCTAAGTTATGGGGAGTTCACATTCACTGCCATGAAACTGTTTCTGAATGACAGAGACCCTAAAGGACAGAGTAGAAGACAGTTAATCACATGAGAAGAGACTGCCTATCATTCTCCTGCAGAGCAGCCGGTGGATTAGAACCGCACACCTTTGGGATTGCAGCGCAGCTTCTTGCCACTAAGCCACCAGTGCTCCCTAGAGTAGACTTACAGGATTTCTAAAACTATTAAATCTTTAGGGAAGTAGATTACCACATCTTTATCCCACTGAGAGGTTGGTGAGTTCAAAAACTATTAATATTTTTATTAGCAACTGAGTGCTTTAACTGCTGTGTCACCAGATTTCCCTCACTCCAAATGTGGAGATGCTCATAATTGTTTCTGCCACGTCTCAAGAAGATCCACTGCCACACTTACAGAATAAAGAATGTTAAGATGACTCGATTTGGGGAGGGCTGCCTCGAGTTGTAGTGCATTATGAGCAAGGCTGCAAGTTAACCTAGTTAACACCGCTGCCGTACACTTTTTAAATTGACAACCGTGCTTAGAAACACATTTGCCATCATTTGCAGCGACGAGTTAAGTAAGTCTGTGTTCAAATCCAAGTCTCAAGGAATATTCTAGAATGGTGGCCTAGTGGTAAGAAGCAGCCCTGCAATCCCAAAGCCATGCAGTTCAAATCCACCAGTTGCTCCTTTGAAAAGCCATTGGAGGGTCAGCTATGGATCAGTCCCGACTCAACAGCAAATAACAATTTGATGTGAGCAGCAGTATTCCAAGGATTCCCCATACTTCTTCCCTCCACCTGCACCCCCAACCCCAGTAATCATCGTCATCATCATCTAATTTTATGAAGAGTGAATCAGTCAATGGGCATAAACATAAAAATACATGATGTATTGTGCCCAGAAGAACACTATTCTTGTTAAAGGAGGTTTGGGACATGATCATCTACTTCTTAGACCTACATGGTTCAAATGAATGTCCCACAATCCACCTCAAAGAGAATACAACTGAACTTCTGCAGGAAGAAGGTGGTAAGAATGGTGAGAATAGGCATTTCAACCAGGACCTTTCCCACAATCCCTATTCTAACTGGAAGAAGGGGCAGGGTGTCAGTGTATTCCTTGGTTTTTTGCCCAACTTTGGGATTCTCCTTCTGTCACATGCTGGGAATAAAAGTATCTTTGCAACTCCTACAGAGAGGCAGATTGAACGCACAGAGCTTTCCACAGGACGGAGAACAAGGAGAGAAGGAGGTTCTAAACACAAAGACTGGGGAGATCTTTCTGAGCCACAAACCTTAGCAAGTATCAAAAACACTGCAGACAGCCACCCCAGAGTCTTCACTGGCTGTAATGACTGCGGCCATGTGGGCGCAGCTGTCATATGGATCTGTCCAGACACACCCTGCAAGACTGGGGACAGGGCACTGACTGAGAGGCCTCTCAGAATGGAGCGGAGTCAACAAATACTGAAGGTACTAGATGGGGAGGACAAACCAAACTTCTATTATTTCATGAAGAAATTATGATAAAATGAACAGAGCTCAAGAAGTAAGAGATTTGTTTTCTACTTGTAAAATATGCTATGCTCTTTTTTTCCTTCCTCCGCCACCCTCCCCCATTAAAGAACTTAGAAAAGATGAAAAGTTTTACTAGCCTCACTTAAATGATGGGCAAATGGAGGGTTCAGGTAGTCTGGTCAGACTAGTTGACAAAGCAAGGACTGAAGTGCAGGGACCACCGACCTTGACAAAGGCCTTCCCAGTACACCAGGAAAAGTGCGTGGAAAGGGTTGGAATTAACGGAATCTCCTCCATTTGGTTTGGGCAGCACAAGAAGCTCCCCAGCTTGAAGGCAGCTCATGAGCTAAGCTGGACCCTCCTAGTCATCTGTCAATAGGAGCCAGGGAACCCTAAGACAGATGGACATGGACAGAGAAATCAGTACGGCCAGGAATCCTTCATCTCCAAGATAGTTTTAAAAAATGGTTTATTGCTTGTTATCCCATCCCCTGAGAGCACAGATAAGTTAGCTTATCCAGAAAGAAGGGCAGGAGGAACCAGAGAAAGCCTCATTGAAAGGGTAGGGAGTGTCTTGTAGCTCACCTTTGAGATAATACCATAGCAAGCCCTATACAGTTTCCTCCAATTCTTCCCACTTTTTAACACCACATTTTTCTCACCCTCCAAGAATAAGGAATCATCCTGAGTCAAATCCCTGACCTCTGAAGGGGCTTGTTACTTTATGAGGTCTTACACCAACACACTGCTGTCCCCTCATCTTGTCTCCCAAGCCCACAGCAGTAAGCATCATCTTTCCTCTAAAAGCAGAGTTGTGTCCAAGCCTCTGTAAAGGGGAAGAAGTTTTAAGTCCACCACTGATGGCTCTCAAGGGACAGCTGCAAACTGACAAAGGTACATCAAAATATGCCTTTTAAGAGGGGACAGAAAAAAAGGAGGTAGGACCGCTGAAGCGCACTTATGGGATGGGGCGTGAAACCTCTAGAAAGTTCCAGAGTTGACAACTCAAAAGACCCTAGGGAGAAGTGGAAGAGGCCAGGGAACCTCCCACTGGAAGGACCCAGAAGGTCTGAACGGCCACCGCCTGGGAGGAGGGGTTGTGCAATGACTGCGGGTCTGGGAATCTCTGGGCTTGGCTCCCGGACGCCAGAAAGGAAACCCCACGCGTCGAGCCAGAGTGGCAGCGCAACATTGGTTCGAGGCCAGGCGTGGGTCTCGGGGCTGCAGGATATGGTAGGTGCCCAAGGGGGAGGCAGAACCAGGCAGGCTGGCCCTTGCACTGGGCTGGTGGGTGGTGTCTGGACTGACCGAGAAGCCAAGGGGTGTTCAATGCACAAAGCAGGGGTGGGGGCACTGTGCACAAAGCCGGGGGCTGCAGATAATGTAACTGGCAGCCAGGAATCCCCAGCCCAGACGAGAACCCTGAAGACCTGCGGGGGAGTACCAGGCAGCACACCAGAGGGGGCACTACCCGCCCCTCCCGCCTCTGCTCCACTCCCTCTCACCTCGAACATAAGCCCGATGAGGACGCAGAGCACCAGGCAGAAGCCGATGTCCGCATGGTTGTGAATGACGAACTCCTGGCTGAAGAGCGGGTAACTTTTCGTCCTCCTGCGGAAAGCCATGGCAGCGGGCGCGCAGCGGCCGGCGGGGCCCGCACACTGCGCTCACAGCCACGGTGCAAACTTCTCCAGCCCCGGCCCTGTACGCCCGCCGGCCCGCCGCCCGCTCGCCGCCCGCCCAGCGCGGAACAACTTCAGGCCCCGCCCCCTTCCTCCGTCCGCCCCCGCCCCTCGCCGCCGGGACCGCCCCCAGCCGCAGCCCCCTCCCCACCGCGGTCCACACTCCGCGCGCAGGGCTCGCCCGGCCCCGCCCCCCGCGCGCTTAACCCTGTCGCTGCTGAAGGCGCGCGGGAGAAGGGCGCGGCGTTCGCGCTGGCGGGCTACGTGGCCGGGGCACTAGCGAGGCTGGGTTTTCCTTGCCCCGCACTCTCGCTGAGCCATGCCGCGTTCTCGGGGTCAGAGGCTCGCGGCCGCACGGAGGAAGCAGGCCGCGGCAGACCTGGATGCCCGGCCCTGCCTGGACAGGAAGTGGGCCCGGGTTTCCCTCTTCTAGGCGCCCCGCTTCTTCCTCCACTGCAAGGAAAGGGCCGGACAGGCCGAGCGCTGGCGGGCAAAGGGATGGGCCACGCCGCGGAGTCTTCACGGATTGGGGGACTCACAGGTTCAATGGAGAGAGGGGAAACTCCAGGCTGGCCTTCTCTGGGGCCGCAGCGCCTTGCGATCGCCCAGGAAGGCGTGCTGGTTAAATCGATAAATGAATGAACAGGCTACTCAGATAATTACTGAGAGATTGCAGTAGGCTAGGCGTGGTCCAGAATGCTGGGAATACACAGCAAACAAACAATAAAACACCTTGTCTTTGTAAGCTTATGTTCCAGTGGAGTAAACTGGCCCTTGGTTTAAAGACTTTGTGCTACCATTAATTTCACACATGCTCCTCAAAGTCTACCTAAAGTATTAATCTGCAATATGCTAAAAGCTATTTAATTCCTACTCTTGTTATTAGTTTCACAGTTATATCACACCTGTTGTTGTTATGTTCCATCCAGTTGCCTGCAACACAATGTACAGTAAACTCTGAAGTCTGTCCTATCCTGAGCCACTCCCACTGTCTCTGACACACCTACCCCCATTGTCCTAGTTACTGTGTCACAGTAACTGTGTCTTCTTCTCCTGCACTGTCTCTCCACCTTTCCGAGCATCTTGTCCTTCTCCAAGTACTGATCCCTCCTAGTTGGTTACATGCCCAAGTACGTGAGACAGAGCTTCAAAAGCCTCACCTCCAAGGAACAGCTAGGTTTCACCCTCTCCATGACAGACCTATTCTCTTGTCAGTCCATGGTGTGTTCAATATCCTTCTCCAGCACTACAACTCAAAGGCATCCATTCTTTTCTACCATCTTTAGTCATCGTCCAACTCTCTGACACATAGAAAGTAATTGCAAAGTCCAAAGCCTGGTTCAGACTCATCTTAGTCTCTAGACTAAATAAAATTTCTTGAAAATGACCCAGTAGATGATTGGGAATTAAATCCCTGGAGACATTTTATTTCCTTAATTTCTTGACTTTTTGCATATAATCTTTGGTCTTTAATTCCCTTATCCAAATCTCCAGTGGGAAAGAAATACTCATAGTAGACTAAATATAATTTAACTTAGATTAACTTTCCTTGTTGTTAGACCTTAATCTTGTGAAGGATTGAGAACTTCTCAAAGTATCACAGTTTATGGTTGTGGAAAATCTGTCCAACTTTTCAATCTGCACCTGTATCTGTTATCAAAACTTTAGAATCTTAGAAGTTCAAATGATTCAGCCTAATAGTTAATTTCACATTAATGCTTGCCATAAAAAGTTTGTAGAGAATATTATAACATGAATTTCCTGTAACAGGTAGGAAGCCGAACTTGTCAACATCCATATTAAAAGTTTAGGCTGAATGTCCTAGGAAGTAGTCAGCTATTAAAATCTCCACATTTATACATGAGAAGCCTGGAATAAAGAGGTTGTCTCAGTGCTCATGCTGCTGGCCAGTTCAGGTCCTTACAATTAGAGTTCAAGTCCCTTAGTGTTTAACCATTATGCTACCATTTTGTTCTGTTCCCTTCGGCCATTATGGTGGTGGTGTTATGTGCTGTCAAGTCACTTGTGACTCATAGCTACCCTACCTACAATAGCTCTGAACCCTGCTCTATCTTGAGCCAACCTCATCCATCATCTCTGACACGCTTATCCCCATTACCCCAGTCACTGAGTCAATCTATCTCATCTAGTTCTTCCTCTTTTATGCTGTACCACCACCCTTCCAAGAATCATGTCCCTCTCCAAAGACTGGTCCCTTCGTACAACATGTCCAAAGTATGTCAGAGATTCAGTCCTTGCCTCCAAGGAACACCTGGTTTCACCCTTTCCAGGACAAACCTGTTTGTTCTCCTAGCAGTCCATGGTATAGTCAATACTCTTCTCCAGCACCACAACTAAAAAACATCGATTCTTCTTCTACCATCCTTAGTCATTGCCCAGCTCTCTGATTCATAGCAAGACCATGTCCCAGATCAGGCACACCTTAGTCTCTAGACTGACATTATTTCTTTTCAATACTCTAGAGAGGTCCCTGACAGCAGATTTTCCCAATAAAATTAATCTTTTGATTTCCTGGCTGCTGGTTTCCAAGAGTGTTGATTGTGGAGCTAAGCAAGCTGAAGCTATTAATCTCAATCTCTTCACCATCTATCATGATGCTGCCTATTGGCCTAGTGGTGAAAATCTTTGGTTTTTTTTTTTTTTTTAATGTTGAGCTTCAATCCATACTGAAGGCTGCAGTCCTTGACTTCAGCACATGCCTCAGGTCCTCTGCAATTTCAGCAAGCAGGGCTGTGTCATCTGCATAATGCAGATTATTGAGTCTTTGTCCAATACTAATGTCACTTTCCTCCTCACAGAACCCAGCCTCCTAGATGATCTATTCTGTCTATAAATTGAAAAGGTGTGGAGATAGGATGCACCCCTGTTGTACACTTTTCCTGATTTTGAACAATGTCATATTTCCTTGGTCTGTTCTGACAACTGCTTCCTGGTCTAAGTAAAGGTTTCGCATTAAGTACAATCAAGTGTTCTGGGGCCATCCTCAATACCAAACTGATTTCCTCTAACTCACTAGTTATGAAGTCTGATGAATTTTAATTTCAGAGTCTCCCTTTCATTGTAACATCCTCTTCTGTATCTGACTCACACGAATTGTTCATCGATCTCCATTTCGCCATTATTTCCCCCTTTAATAAATCATGTTATTGTTGTGTATTGTAGATTCGGAGCCGACCCATAGCTGACCCTTCTGCAGGTTTTTAGAGGCAGTTAATTGCCTCTAAGAGGAAAGAGATTTCCTAGTCTTTTCCTATGGTGTATCTGATGGCCTTGAACCACATGCCTTTGGGATTGCAGCAAAGCTTATTGCCACTAGGCCACCACAGGGTCATCTATTGTGAGCCTACCCAAAGCCAGATGCTACCCGTTACTGCAGTGGTGTCTGTTTAAAGACTAAGGAGTGCCTGATTTCAGTTACTTCCTGTGCATCTGAAAGTTGGACAATGAATAAGAAAGACCAAAGAAAAACCGATGCTTTTGATTTGTGGTGTTGGAGATTACTAAATAGCTCAAAATGCCAAAAGAAGTCTGTCTTGGCAAAAGGACAACCAAGCTGTGTTCCTTAGAGACAGGGACAGTGAAACTCATCTCAAACTTTGAGCATGTTGTCAAGAGGGACCGGTTCTTGGAAAAAGACGTCATGTTGGGAAAGGTGGAAAAACAGGAAGACCCTCAACAAGATGGATCGATATGGGGAGTCATAATTGGCTCAAGCATATCAGAGATCATGAGAATGGTGCAGGTTTGGGTGAGGTTCAGATCTGTTGTTCATGGAGTCATTATGAGTTATAATCAACTCAGTGGCAGAAGTTATGGTGTGTAACTTCCAAGATTACATCATATAAAAAAAGTCATTCAAGGGAGCTCTGGTGGCCTAGTGGCAAGAAGCTGCATTGCAATCCCAGAGGCATGCGGTTCGAATCCACCAGATGCTCTGCTGGGGAAGGAGGGGCTATCTCCTCCTGTACCAGTCAGATCTGATTTGACGGTACACACAAAAATAATAAAATAAATTTTTTAAAAATGTCATTCAAGTTTTTCCTTTCTCTCTCTCTCTCTGTCTCTGTGTTTCTTTCTCTTCCTTCCTCATGCTCACATCACTGGCTCCAGTGCAAGTCAGCTGCCTGCTTCTGTGTATATTCAGGCAGCTCTGTGCCTTATGAAGAGGGCCCTCTGCCTACAACCAGAACTGCCTTGTAGTGTGTGAGCAGGTCCTCCAGGCCCAGTGCAGTCCAGCTGACCTCTTGACTTAAGTCTCAAAAGACTCTGAGCCCGAACCACCAGTTAAGCCACTCCTACATTCCTAACACACAGAAACTGTGAGATAATAAATGTTTACTGTTTAAGCTGCTTAAATGGGGGGGAAACAATGACAAAGCCCAAATTTATTGTTCTCTGGTCAATTGCAACTCATGGCGATGCCACGTAAAACTCTTTCATAGGGTTTTTGGTTTTTGGGGGGGGAGGTTATAAGGGAAAATAGAGACAGAACAACAGCAGCCATCATAACCAGACCTAGTGTTGTGAGGGATGAGGAAGATCTAGGAAAGAGCCTTTAAATTTTTTTTTTTTTCTATTTAGAATTTCAGAGCCTTAGAAGAAAAGCTAACGAAAGTGAGAGAGAACACTGGAAATACTAAATACATGGAAAATCTTCGAAGAAACCATGGATGAAGCTTAGGATAGAAGCTCACAACATGGGCAGTGAAGACTGCTCTGGGACTGAAGCAAGGCTTTAAGAGAGGGCGGATATATGGTTACATCTGGAGGTGGAGGAGATAATGACCTCTCACATTTATACTGTACTTTACAGCTGCTCTGTGAGGAAACCAAGACAGTTATTATCGACCCTTTCTTGTAGCTGTTCTGAGACATGTGAATGACCATGGGTCACATAATTAATGGGTAGCCAAGCCAGAACTCAGACCAGTGAGTCATGCTCAACACAGGGTCTCCTTCACCAGGATCACTTGCAGGCCTCTTAAACATAGCACCGATCAGGTGAGCCCCCATCATGCTGACCAGCCGCGGCTTATGACTTTTTAGCTTCATCAACTC